GCAGGGGCAGGGTGAAGTCGGGCCTGTCCCCCTACAGGGGGATTTTCGACGAACAATTAAAAACACCCCCAGAATACCCCAAAAAGGCCAAAGCATACACCACAAATAGTCCCCAGGCTATCTTTGGACTATTTTTTTTATTATTTTGGGGGTATTTTTTATTTTTCGTCGGAAATCCCCCTGTAGGGGGACAGGCCCGACTTAAGGGTAGGGCTCCCATGCGGCCCCCTACCAGGCCCGTCAAGCAGCGTCGCCGGGGCCCCCGCGCAGAGGCCTGGCCCTCCGGGAGTCTCTTGCGGTGTTTCGTGGGCGCCCCCCGCGGAGCTGCCGCAGACGCGCTGGGCGCGCCCATGGCCACGACGCCTTGTGGAGGACGATCCACGGAGGGGACGCACGTTGCCACATACTTCCCAGATGTCTAAAGCATGGGTTAAACATGATTTGAACATGTACAACACATGTTTAAAACATGTTTCGATCATTGTTCCGACATGTTAAACACGTGTTAAACTCAATGATAGGACTGTTAGGGTGTCCATTGTCGTCAGATGTCTAAAGCATGGATTGAGCATGTTTTAAACATGTGAAAACATGTTGAAACATGTTCCGAACATGTTTCCGACATGTTAAACACGTGTTAAACTCAAGGGTAGGACTGTTAGGGTGTCCATTGTCGTCAGATGTCTAAAGCATGGATTGAGCATGTTTTAAACATGTACAAACACATGTTGAAAACATGTTCCGAACATGTTTCCGACATGTTAAATACGTGTTAAACTCAAGGATAGGACTGCTAGGGTGTCCATTGTCGTCAGATGTCGACAACATGGGTTGAACATGGTTTAAACATGTACAACACATGTTTGAAACATGGTGGATCCTTTTCCGACATTTTAAACACGTGTTAAACTCAAGGATCGGATTGTTAGGGTGTCCATGGTCGTGGCATCCACAACCGTGGCCACTAAGCCCTTCCCCAGCTCGGCGTCCGCCGGGTCGCTCCCTCGGGTCTGGTCTCGAGGCCGCCCCCCCAGCCTCGGCGACGGCTCGGCCTGCCTGTTCCGGGGGGGGGGGAGGGGGGAGTGGGCTGCGGGCTGCCAGCTCGAGAGAGGGACGTGGGCAGCTCCAGAGGATGGTTGTGAGTGCATGGCGGTTTTCGGAGATGGTGGTCAGATGCATTCGGACGAGCAGGCAAGCCCAGAGCAGCATTCATGGCGATTATTATTCTTAGCCTGCCCCCCTCATGAAGCCAGAAGGTTTCCGAACACGGAGACGGAGTCGGAGATGATGAATTTCATGAGCGACCTGATAGGCACCTTGCCGCTGCTGATGCTGAGTGCGACGGCGGCATAGCTGCTGGGGACTGCTGTCGCTGCCGTCGCTAATGGTGGTGCTGCAGCACCCCCCGTCGTCGAGCGCCAGGCTGGCTTCATCTTCTGCATCTCCCGCTGTTGGTGTTGCTGCCTTTTGAGAGTCTCAGAGTCTTATCCTGCTCCTCGTCCTTGCGCAGATGAGGCCTCGTAACTCCTGCCCCTCCCTCTGCTGCTCTTCCTCTCCATCCTATCCGTCCGTGGCCGCTTGGCCTCAAGCTCCTGCCCCGAGCAGGACGGGCGGGGCCTCGCGGTCTTGCCCACCGCTTCGGGTGCAACTCCTGGGAGGTCAAATTCTGACGTTGCCCTGGTGTGGAATCCGGGGCTAATCCGACTTAAGCCCGATGTATCCAGCTCAACCGCGCTTAATCGGGCTTAATCCCGCTGAACCCGCGGCCCAGTCCGGCGTGGCAGCCCCTCAATGGGGCCAAATCCCCGTCTATCCTTCCGGCGACGACCTCGCAGCAGCTGCCTCCTGACACTGCTGACCGAATGTAGGCCGGCGAGGCTGGGCACGCCTCCCAGAGCGCGGCATCTGCGCCCATGGCCGGCAACCCGCTGCAGTTCGACTGGGCGGACCCGATGGGTCCTGCCTACGCCGCCATGTTCTACCTCCTCCTTGCCATCACCGGCACGCTGGCCTGGGCTGCCCATCGGGCGGGCGGTAACGGGGGGCGACCTCCATTGGGGGGGGTGAGGAGAAGGGCCCTAACAGGGGAACTCCAGGGCCCCTTCGGGCCCCCTGCTGGCTCCCAAAGGAGCCCCAGGGGGGGGGAGGGGGAGGCTCCCAAAGGAGCCCCAGGGGGGGGGAGGGGGAGGGGGAGGGGGAGCGGGAGGGGGAGGGGGGAGGGGAGGGGAGGAGAACGAGGAGGAGCATGAGGAGGAGGTGGAGGAGGAGGAGGAGGAGGTGGAGGAGGACCTCCACCCCGTTAGGTCCCCCCCCCTTTACCACCCGCCCGAGCCCAGCCGAGATCGGAGAGGCCGCTCGATCCCGACGCACGGGGCCTGCAGTGGTCTTTCCTCGTGCCCTGGTACGCCTGCGTGGCCGGCGACTGGCTGCAGGGGCCCTACGTCTACGCCCTCTACGACGCCTACGGTTTCGACCGCCGTGCCATCTCCCAGCTCTTCGTGGCCGGCTTCGCCTCCAGCATGATTTGATGGGCTTATGGTCTACCACCGCTACCATAGGTCCATAGGCCGGAGGGGGAGGAGGAGGAGGAGGAAGAGGAGGAAGAGGAGGAGGAGGAGGAGGAGGAGGAGGAGGAGGAGGAGGAGGGAGGAGGAGGAGGAGGAGGAGGAGGAGGAGGAGGACCTCCTCATCCTCCTTTCCCCCCCGTCCTACACATGGTAGTGGTGATGGAAAATTGGCCCATCATCATCTTCGGCACGTGTGCCGGCTCGCTGGCGGACCGCGCGGGTCGCAAGAGGAGCTGCCAGGCGTACTGCATCCTGTGCGCCACCTCCTGCGCGACGAAGCACTTCGCCAGCTACTGGGTGCTGATGGCGGGGCGGGTCACGGGCGGGGTCGCCACCTCGCTGCTGTTCTCCTGCTTCGAGAGCTGGCTGGTCTCCGAGGCGCGCGAGAGGCGCGGGCTGAGCGACCGCCACGTCCTCGAGCACATCTTCGCCCTCATGTGGTTCGGCAACTCCCTGGTGGCGATCCTCGCGGGGGTCCTCGGGGACGTGGCCGTGGGCGCCGGCGGCCTGCGCAGCGTTGCCGGGGGGCCGCTGCACCTCGGCGGGTACTGCTCCGCCTTCGACCTCGCGATCCTCTTGCTGCTCGTGGGGCTGGGGCTGGTGAGCTGCCTGTGGGAGGAGAACTACGGTAGCGGCGCCGAGGTTGCCCACTGCGACCTGGTGGCTCAGGTCAGGGCGGGCGCGCAGTCGATTCTTAGGAGCAAGCAGCTGATGGTGATCATGGTCATGGTGGCCTGCTTCGAGGGCTCGATGTACACCTTCGTCTTCCACTGGACGCCCGCCCTCAGCAACGCGTACTCCACGCCCGCTTTTGGCATGGTGTTCGCCAGCTTCATGATGGCGTACATGTGTGGCTCCTCTACCTTTGACCTCCTGAGCAGCCGCGGGGTCGCGGTGATGCGGCTCATCCAGGGGGCGTTCTCGCTCGGGGCGCTGGGGTTCCTCATCTCTGGCGTCGGCCTCGCCCAGCGACTGGGCTTCGCCCGCCTAGTTCAGGTGTACCTGGGATTCCTGATCTTCGAGTTCTGCTGCGGCCTCTACTTCCCGTCATCCTCCACGATCAAGGGGGAGCTGGTGCCCGAGGGGGTCCGGAGCACCGTGTACAATCTGTACCGGGTGCCGATGAACGCGATCGTGCTCGTGACGCTGCTCTCAGACATCCCCATGACGGCCGTGTTCAGCGTCTGCTTTCTGCTGCTCGCGGCGGCGGGAGCATCGACAGCCTCTCTCAGAGCACCTACAAGCCAGTCGCTGAAGGGCGCGGCGGACCAGGAGTACGGGGCCGTCGACGAGGGGAGGGTCAAGCGAGAGGCATGAGTCATGGTGACCGGTCTGCCATCGAGCGCGGAGTGCACAGCACGGCTCCACGGGCGCGCGTGCTGCGCCAATCTGGTCCCCCTGGCATCCTTCCTCCGCCTCCTGCTCCTCCTCCTCCTCCTCGCTCCCCTGCTCCCTCCTCGCCCTCCCCCGGGCCCTCCCTCACCTCCAGGAGAGGGCGAGGGCCCGCAGCCTCTCCCTGGCTCAGGGCGGCGCCGCCCCGCAGCCCCGCAGGTCGCAGCCCCAGCGTGGCAGCTCCCCCGGCCCGGCGGGCTCGAAGGGTCCACGGCTGAGAGGCCGGCGCCATGGCCTCTGCAGCCACCGCCTTCGGGCGGCCGCTGCCGCCGGCCGCCCCCGTCGTCCACGTGCTGTCGGACTCCGACGACGGCGCCCCGGAGCTGCCGGCCTCGAGCGCCGCCGCGGCCCCCTGCCGAGCGGCCCAGCTGCTGGTCGGCATGGGCTTCGCCGCGGGCGCGGCCGCGCAGGCGGCGGGCGCCGCCAGGGCCAGGCTCGGAGGCGGTGCCGACAGCGCCCTCGTCGTGGCCGCCGCGCTGGACGCGCTCCAGGCGCAGCGCCGCTCGCCGCAGCGGCCGGGCGCAGCCTCGCCGCGCGGCAAGCGCGCGGCCTCGCCGGGCCCCAGGGGCCCGCCGCCTGGGCGAAGCCCGCGCGGGCCGGGCGGGCTCTGCCGGGCCGCCGCGCAGCAGGTCCTCCCCCCCGGCCTAGTGGAGCGCGTCAGGCCGGCATTCGAGTCGCGGGGCAGCAGGCAGGGGAACGGAGAATGGCAGGAGCAGAGTCAACGACTCGGGGGTCCGCGCGGAGCTCCGAGTTTGCATGCTTGTGTCAGTCTTCGTTCCCACAGCAGGGACCAGCCGTGGGTCCACGTCAGGAACGTCGACGGCCGCGAGGGCAGGCTCGTCGCCAGCCTGGTGTTCCAGGCGTTGCAGGGCGCGCTCGGCGAGGGTTTCTGCGCCCGCCTGAAGCGGAGGCGACGGACGCGGGACGGCATCATTTCGGACCACAGGCATCCAGAGTGGCACACCAGCCCGAGGCTCTCTGTGCTGCAGGACCTGGCCTCGCAGCTGCTTGCCTACCTCTCCGCGCCGCCCGCCGAGGGCTCCGCTCCGGCTGTGCCGAGGGGCGTTCTGAGCCGGCTGCGCGAGCCGCGGCGGCAGTGGAACGACACGGAGGTTCAAGCAGTGGCGAAGCGTCCCGGCTCGCCTATAGCCCCACCAGACAATTTTCTAAGAACCTGTTGTGGTTTCCACGAAATGTTCTTTAGAACATGTCTGGCGGAGTCTGTCTTGTTTGAGCACATCGGGCTTATGTTCTAAGAACAGTGTTTTTGTCCTTAGAACATCTTTGAGTTCTAAGAGCACTTCGTGGTAGGACTGTAGGACTGCCGGGACGGTCGGTCCCTGCTCAAGAGGTGCTGATCTACAACCCGGGGTGCAGGGTCAAGAGGCACCACGACGCGCAGCCCCCGGGCTCGCTGCTGCTCGTGTTCTCCGCGGGCCTGTCTGGCAGCGGCCACGCCTGGCCCCACGGCCAGCTGGTGGGGGGAGGATGGAGGAGGAGGAGGAGGAGGAGGAGGAGGAGGAGGAGGAGGAGGAGGAGGAGGAGGAGGAGAGGGTGGAGGAGGAGGTGGAGGAGGAGGAGGAGGAGGAGGAGGAGGAGGAGGAGGAGGAGGAGGATGGAGGGAGGAGGAGGAGGAGGAGGAGGAGGAGGAGGAGGAGGAGGAGGGAGGAGGAGGAGGAGGAGGAGGAGGGGAGGAGGAGGAGGAGGAGAGGAGGTGGGAGGAGGAGGAGGAGGTGGAGAGGAGGAGGAGGAGGAGGAGGAGGAGGAGGAGGAGGGAGGAGGCGGAGGTGGAGGAGGAGGAGGAGGAGGAGGAGGAGGAGGAGGAGGAGGAGGAGGAGAGGAGGAGGAGGAGGAGGAGGAGGAGGAGGAGGAGGAGGAGGAGAGGCGGAAGATGGAGGAGGAGGAGGGAGGAGGAGGAGGAGGAGGAGGAGCGGGAGGAGGAGGAGGAGGAGGAGGAGGAGGAGGAGGAGGAGGAGGAGGAGGAGGAGGAGGAGCGGGAGGTGGAGAGCGTCATGCAGAGCGGAGACGTCGTCATCATGGACGGGAAGCGCACGGAGCACGCGATCCCAGATGTGCTCGAGGGGACAAGCCCTTTCCGGCCTGACGAGTGGTTGGGCAACCGCCGCTTGGCAGTGCTGGTCCGTGAGGCGCCTCCGTGAGAAATAACGCATCACGTCGACGCCATCCTCCTCTCCGCCTCGAAGTGTTCTCGCTCGTCAGACCTTCGCCTCTTAGCCTCGCGCTGCGTTCTTCCGCTGATGCCCTTCGCAACGGCCCTGGCGGCTCCAGAACAGTCCCGAGGTTCCGAGATCCTGCCTGCCGGAACCTGATCCCCTTAGACGATCTCAGCCTTGGTGCGTGGTTGCTCTTCTGGCCGTTGATTGCCACTCTGCTTGGTGCCTTCCAGAGCGTTGTAAGAAGCGCCCTGTTCCCCCATCGGGCTGTCCCAAGCGTGCTGCTGGTGACCCCCCCGGGTGCTTTGACTGTGAGGAGCCGCATGCTCATGCTTTCGGCCTCCTCCCCCTGCTCTGCCTGCTCTGCCTCCTGCTACTCTTGCGTACTGCTGCTGCCCTTCTCAGCCACGCGCAGAGGGGGGTCGGGGGGGGGGAGGGCTTCTTAGAAGCACCCCTGCTTCTTAGAAGGCGCGGGCCTCATCTATAGAAGTAAGGCCGGCGCCTTCTAAGAAGCAGCCTGCTTCGAAGAAGCCCTCCCCCCTGCCACCACCCCCTTGTGCACGCCGCGAACCTTCTTCCTCGTGTGTGCTCGAGCGGTCCGCGTTCCAGCCCGACTCGAACCCGCGAGCACGTCCCCGGCACGACCGCGCTGGGTGCTGCGAAGGCTTCAGGAGGGGAAAAAACACACAGACACAATTAATCGTCGATTCCCCAGAAAATATGGGAAAATATGGGAATGGGGCGGGAAGACAAAAACCCAGAAAATATGGGAACATATGGGGAATCCTTTTATTTGTGTGTATTTATTTGTGTGTCCCAGGGCCCCTTAAACCACGTCCCAGGCACGACCGCGCGGGGTGCTGCGCAGGCTGCCCGGCTTCGCGAGATGTGTGTCGGACCGTGCTGGGATGGGCCCGCGCGCGTTCCCGCGGCGCGGCCTCCCCGCCCCCCGTGCGAACCATGGCATGAAGGAGGGGAAAGAACACACAGACAAAATGAATCGTCGATTCCCAGAGAAGATGGGAACATATGGGAAGTGGGGGGGAAGACAGAAACCCAGAAAATATGGGGAAATATGGGGAATGTTTTGATTCGTGTGTATTGTGTGTGTTTGTGTGTGTGTGTGTGTGTGTGTGTGTGTGTGTCTCAGGGCCCCTTCACCATGGCATAGCGAGGACATCCTGGGAGAAGAACGTTGGTGGCAGATGTTGGAGCGAAACGTCAGTTGCGATGACCACGTCAGCACACTTTCCCTCTCAAGCCTTGGCCCAGCGTTCGTCTCGGCGGCTTGCGGCAGACCGGCCAAAATGCTTCGCCGCCTGCAGAAGCACTGGGCTGTGCGCGCGCAGCTGGCCCAGCGTTCGCGC